CCTTTTACACAGCCACTTTTATTTGTCCCTTTTCCGGGAAGCTTTTACAGCTGTGCCAGCTCACAATTTTCCATCTTGCTACCGAATGAGCAGTTGTTTGCTATTCCCTTGGTGATGAGCATAAGCAGCCTTGTGTTATTATTGAAGCCCACAGAGACAAATGCCTTGTCTTGCTGCACTGACTACAAACCCTCAAGGGTACAGCCAGGGGATTTGCCAAATTGCATCCAAACAGGTTCTTGTGCTTAACATGTACCTGTGTGTGCCTGTGTGGGTGGCCCACGGAGTACCTTCATACACATTTTGATTTTTTTCCCTTAGAAACTGAATACACAGACAATGGACAAACTAGATATAAAAATGGGCTTTGGATCCACATTTTGAAGCTGCAAGCCCAAGAAACTAATCCACAACACACAGTAACAACCCCAGGAAGCTAGCCTATTACTTACAGGTCAGTCTCGGGGAACAGCAGACCACTGTCTCCAGCAAACACTGGAGGAAGCCAAGCAATATCCTATAAACAAAGGCCCAAATGGCCAGGACTTGACAAATAACTGAATGCTTCCCTCATTTTTGTCCCTACTTCAACTTAGGACTCATCAGAGAAACACAAATATACTCCCCTCACCAGTCACACAGGAGTTCTCATTCTAGTTGCCAACCACAGCCTGCCTGGCCAACAGCCTCCAACAGGGCTAATCTGAACCCATTCCCTTTGCCCACAGTGAAGCTTTCCCAGGCCTCTGCCTACCTTTGAGTCTGCCGAATGTGAGAAACAGTGGCCACCTCCCTGCTAAAGGAGACTCTAAACTCTGTTTAGAGCCAGGAGCCAAGAGTGCAATCCAGGGCTCCCACATGGGTGGCAGGAACCCTGGTACTGGAGCCATTGCCTGCCACCTCCAAGGGTCTGCTCTAGCAGGAAGCTGGAGTCAGGAGCTGCATCTGGGAATCATACCCAGGCACTGTGATATGGCACACGGGCATCTTAGCCACTGAACTAAACGCCTGCCCCCTCTTCTAGGGATTTTTTTTTTTAAGGGAAAAGTCAAAGGTGTTGTTGGTAAATGGGCACTTGAGGATGTCCATGAAACATATTTGTAATGGTAAAATTGGAAATGGTCTTCAGAGTCAATAAAAAGTGAATTGGTTATATAAATTCCATTGGATAGAGTTTCAAGTCATTAAAAATCACAGGGTTAAAGATGATGTCATGCTTAGAGAAATCCGTTCACCATACATGAAGTAAAATAATATTTTGAAACTACGTTATGAAGCAGAATGCTGCTTAAGCACTTAGCACTTTGCCTGGCTGCGTGTTAGCTGTCGTCCTTTTTAAAAGCATGATCTCAGGTTTTAAAGAAGCATTTATAAATAATAGAAGAATACATTACAATTTCAAGTGGTTACCAGTGTGTAGAAGAATCCTCGATTTATGGGTCCTTCTTGGTGCTGAATTTTCTGAGTTGTCTGTAATGAGCTAGAACTTTTTCTTACTATTACAAAAGAACCTTGCTGAATTAAGCAAGCCTGCTATATGTCTACTGCTTTGGAACAATCTTAGACAAGGAGCCCTGAGCCAGGAAGTAGGAGACAGACCAACGTCCTATGCTATGTTACAGTTTTAGATATTTCCCTTCACCTCCTTAGGCTTCTGTGTACCCTTTGGGGTATATCTGACTCTCTGAGGTTAAGGGATACTCATGCTGATACTCAGGAAAATTTTCATTCACAATAATAGAAATAGCTCCGCTTCTCAAGCCCTTGCTAAGTGCCGCTGTACGTCCATGATCTCATCAGCCCTTCCTGGGGACAAGGAGATCCAGGCCTAGAGAAATGAAATGACTTACCCAAGATGACACAGACAGAAAAATAAGAGCCCCAGGATTCAGACAGTTCTGTCGAACTGCAGGCATCAGCCAATAGCTTTAGCCCAAGATGACCAGCCCAGGGGATGCATCTTGCAATCAGTTCAAGGATGTGACTTCTAACCATGATGGGCTAAAAAGAAAAGGGAGGGATGGCACAGGGTGGAGGATTGACAGCTGATGTGGCCCAACTGCAAGAAGTGGGCCTGAGATGGTGAGGTACTGAGCCACTCTGGAAAGTCCTCATTCTGACCCAGATCTCAGTGTCCATATGCAGGCTAGATGGTCCCGTGGGGAATTTCTGCTGCATGGGGACAGGTCCATGGTATCCGTCTGCAGTGAGGAAGCCTTATCATGCAAAGCAAGTTGACCGTGACAGGTGGGCAGCTGCGAGTGCTGAGTTGGTTGTCTGGGAGAGTTGTGGTTTGTGTGCTTGTGCTTTGTCCATGGGCTCTGTGAATTGCCTCCAACCCAAGGGGATTGATTCATGGAGAATTTTGACCCATGCTCCTGAAACCCATTGCTCTAACACCAGTCTGAATCTGGGGCATTGCTTTACTTGGTTTAGTCTTAAACCAAACAACAGAAGGAAGCTGATGGCCCTGGTATGAGCAGCACACACTTGGGAACAAGATCTATTTTGGAGAAAGGTCTTACTCTCAGTCCCTTTGATAGAAGAGCAAGGGATACCAATCCTGAGGCCAGTCACTTTGCACACAATTTTATAGCAACCCGGTCAGTCTACCCTAAGCCTGTGCAAAATGCTTTGAAACAGAGATAAATGGATTTCTCTGCTGTTTCTTTGCCCTCTACCCCTTTCATGGGAGACAGTGGATGCCTTCTCTGAGGTGGGGCTGGCCACAGCCTTCCCTGCCCCTCCGTGCCGCCACCCTGGGAGTGCCTTCCAGGAAGGCTGCACCCTGGGCTCCATAGAGTGGCCTCACTTACCCAGAGTTTCACTCTCTGTGATCAGTTACCCTCAGTGAACCATGGTACAAAGATATTAAAGGGAAAATTCCAGAAATAAGTAATTCATAAGTTTCTTTTCTTTTCTTTCTTTCTTTCTTTCTTTTTTTTGATTGAGTGGACAATGAGAGAGAGACAGAGAGAAAGGTCTTCCTTTTCCATTGGTTCACCCCACAATGGCCGCTGCGGCCGGCATGCTGCAGACGGCGCACCACGCTGATCCGAAGCCAGGAGCCAGATGCTTCTCCTGGTCTCCCATGTGGGTGCAGGGCCCAAGCACTTGGGCCATCCTCCACTGCACTCCCAGGCCACAGCAGAGAGCTGAACTAGAAGGGGAGCAACCGGGACAGAATCCGGCGCCCCAACCGGGACTAGAACCCGGGGTGCCGGTGCCGCAAGGCGGAGGATTAGCCTAGTGAGCTGCGGTGCTGGCCAACTCATAAGTTTCATATTGTGAACTGTTCTGAGTAGCATGATGAAATCTTGTGCTGTCCCACTCATCTCCCCCAAGATGTGAATCATCCTTCTGTCCAGCGTGTCCACACTGTATATGCCACACACCCCTTGATCACTTGGTAGCACCTTGGTGATCAGATCGATTGTCCTGGAATCCCAGTGTTTGAGCTCAGGTAGCCCTCTTTTGACTTCATAATGGTCCCAACATACTACAGTGGTGATGTTGACAATTTGAATGTATCAAAGGGAAGCCATAAATACTTCTTTTTAGTGAAAAGCTGAATGTTGTTGACTTAATAAGGACAACAAAAAATCATATGCTGAGGTTGCCAAGATCCACAGTACAGCAGAATATTTTGACCCCATCCACATAATGTTATTATATAGTGTTATAGTAGTCTTGTTTTATTAAGATTGTTAGACTTTATCATAGCATGTGTAGGAAAAAGCATAGTATATGTAGGATTCAGTGCCATCTGCAGCCACTAGGGGTCTTGGACTTTATCACTCACAGATGAAGGAAGATGACTGCGCAGCCAAGAGGCACTGTTTTATGACAAGGGTCCTGAGCACCCAAAAAGAGAACCTCTTCCCAGAGCAGCCGTTCTTGTCTCATTCCAACTCACAGAGACAAAAAGGAGGGGCTGTTATTTGGTGATTACTGAAGCCAGACTCGGGCGAGGGGACCCTGGGCCTGCTGCAGTACCAGTCCTTTGCCATCTTCCCTTCTCTGTAAGGAGAGGTGAGCCAACTGCTGTAGAATCTGGCTCTAAGCCTTGCGTGTCAAGGAAAAGATCAGTGACATGTGATGAGACAGTGTACTCCCCCACGTCGGACCCTAACATCTGCCTTTCTTCAGGGGTCCCTGCCTTTGATGTGGGAGAGCTGGCGGGGATCATGGGAGAACCTGAAACAGAATCACTAGATGCACACACCCTGGGAAAGGGATGAGGGATGGCCAACCCTCACCTGGAAAAGATGCTATTGGCTGAGTCTGATCTTTCTCCACACCCATCCTCCCTGGGCTGTGCTCCTTCTGCAATCAAGGTCCTTGGTGCTGGCCATGGTGGCAGGGCAGAGAGAGGGAGACAGGGGGCTGGCAGCCTCCCTCCCAGGGCCCACAGGAAGGCTGTGAGTTTATTTGCTGGAATCAGACTCTGTGGGCTCTCCCCAGCTCAGCCCAAGAGAGCACACTGCAAATCTGCCATAGAAATAGTCTTCAAGCAAGGTAGATCCTCAAAGGTAAGACCAGAACTGGGGTCTTTTGTGGGGGGGGCAGTTGCATGTAAATATTATTTCTTTGCTGCTTATTCTATGGCTTAACCCATACAATCTCTGGACTAAAATTGGTCCAGGAGTAATTGTGCAGCAGTTAGGATGCTACTTGGGATGCCCGCATGCTGTATTGGAGTGCCTCAGTGCAAGTCCTGGCCCTGCTTCCAGTCGTAACTTCTTACTACTCTGCAGCAACTGATGGCTCAAGCAATTGGGTCCTTGCCGCCCGTGTGGGAGACCTGGATCAAGCTCCAGGCTCCTGGATTCAACTTGGCCCAGCTCCAACTCTTGTGGGCATTTCGAGGAGTGAACTAGCAGAGGGGAACTCTGTCTCCCTTTCTGTGTCTCAAATAACTAACTCATTACATAAAAAGCATGTAGGGATAGATTGAAGACAATCAACAATTGTATCTAGAATGTACAATCTTTTTATAAAGTATAATTTATTTGTCATACCACATATAAAATGTCACAAACCTCATAGACAAACTGTTTTGTTTTTAACTAAGCTATTACAAGATGAACCAGAAAACTGTACCTCCACATGGAGACAGCATAGTGCAATTGTGACATTTGACAAAGAATCACTTGTGCCATTCCAGAAATCATAAAGTGCATGACTGTCACGCGGAACCACACGAATCTGATTTTAATCCGCTGTAGAAACCTTGAGTACATGGAGGAAAACATTTAATGTATTTTCAAGATTAGGTTTCAAAGTGTCACAATAATTTTTAAAGCATATGTGAACATTAATCACAGGATCTTCACATCTACATTCTGTGAACAAGCCTCGTGGAGAGCGTGCACGCGCACCCCAAGGAGTTAGCCCTGTTTGCTCTCATTGGAGGTGGTGGGCTTGCAGCATGTGCCTGTCCTGCTGGAATCACTCAAGCAAATTAAGTTCCCCAGGGAAAGCCATTTCTATGCAGTGTAGAGAGGGAGAGGCATGGAAGAGAATGGGCATTTTTTCTCCCTTCAGCAGGGGAGAAGGGAGCATAGGAGCTGCAAAGTTCAGAGTGTTTCACTGGAACCGAGAGCATATTCACTGTCACAGGTGATCCGACTAGTGAACTTGAAGCTGGCTGTGACCATGGTGCCATTACTGTGTCCCCTGCCTGAGTGTGCACTCTCCCTGGGAAAGCAGAAAGCTAACTGTCCCCATTTTTTGTTTATGTCCTCCCTGTCTGGGGCCAGCTCACACAGCAGTCCTGGAACACAGAGTTTCTGACTCTAAGCTTTGACACATCCCCTCCTGCCCTGCGGCTCAGGAGCTGTCGCCTGTCACCCCGAGTCCTCAGCCATCACTCTCCTCTGAACTCGCTGGCTGGGTGGGAAGTGAAGCTATGTACTACACCTAGACCGGGTGACAGAAGGTTCAGTCAGTACAAAATGTGGACAAGGCCAGTACAAGGCCAATAATGAGATCTGTTCGTGGCAAAGATTGGCAGGAGCCTTTTGAAGCTTAGAGAAGAAAGAATGAAAATTAAAAGCCCAGACTGAGACTGTGTTTTTGAGAGAGGCTGCCACCAGGAAAGGCCTTTGGTGTCTAGACAGGCCTGACCTCATGTCCCACGCCCCACCTTAACACGCCTCAGCAAGCATCTCCACGTCTCCGGTACAGGCGAGGACCCTTGCAGCCCACGCCAAAGACAAACGACAGCCACAAAAACAGGCACAGGAGGACTCCGGCGTTCAGGAGCTCGGCACAGAATTAGCTGTGTCATTCATCGGAATTCTCTTTGTAGTTCTGGGAGTTGTCACATTTCATTTCACTTTCTGTAAAGGAATTCTATTTAAAGGCAGAAGAAAAGCATGCCTATTATTCTTTAAAGGGCCGTGGTGAATCTTGTGCACTAGTAATTCTTGGCCAAAGTGATCATTACTCCTGATTTTTAAGATTCATCCATTTAAAACTGTTCCACGATAGATGTTTGAGAAGCAGAGTGTAATGTCTCATTTCAAGCTGGTAGAGTAGTAATGAGGACAGAGAAAGAAGCCTGAATTTTGAGAATTATACCTGAAGTGATTTTTTAAAATAATCTTTCTTGAGTTGTCTCCATGGGAAATTGAGTTTTACTTCCATTTGCACTGCCCCAAACTGGCCACATGTGGCTTTTCAAATTTAAGTGGATGAAAATTAAGTAAAATGCACAATCCAGTTCCTTGGTTACACTTGTCACAGTTCAAACGCCCAATGCCCACATGAGGCCAGAAGTCACTGAAGCAGAAAGGGGTTTTCTAGAAAGTTTCACCAGACAGTTCTGCTTTAGTGTTTTTCTAGCTGATGAAAATGAATAGAGGCCTGCGCCGTGGCTCACTAGGCTAATCCTCCACCTTGCAGCACCCGCACACAGGGTTCTAGTCCCGGTTGGGGCGCCGGATTCTGTCCCGGTTGCCCCTCTTCCAGGCCAGCTCTTTGCTGTGGCCTGGGAGTGCAGTGGAGGATGGCCCAAGTGCTTGGGCCCTGCACCCCAGGGGAGACCAGGATAAGTACCTGGCTCCTGCCATCGGATCAGCGCGGTGCTGCGGCAGCCATTGGAGGGTGAACCAATGGAAAAGGAAGACCTTTCTCTCTGTCTCTGTCTCTCACTGTCCACTCTGCCTGTCAAAAAAAAAATAAAAATAAAAACAAAAAAAAAGGAAAATGAATAGAAAATAAAGTTGACAGAGCTGGGATTTGATAGTCCTATAATAGATAGTTGCCAACTCAAATTATGCAACTCAAAGTCTGTACAGCAACACTGGCAGGAAAAAAAATCATGCACATGTGGGATGTATGTGTTGAATTATCACACTGTACCCCATAAATATGTGCCATTAAATAATGAAAATTAAATAAAAAATAACCCATTCATGATTGAACTGTGTACTTTTAGACATTTGTAGTAAAAATACAAGTCTGGAATAATTTGACCCTACTCCCATTAGTTTATTTCATAGCTCCTGCATGAAAAAATAGCCTGATTTTAAGTATCCCCACAATTTTTCATTGCCAAAACCTAAATGAGAATGCATAGAGGATATGTCTGCACTGATGCACACACGCACGCACGCACACACACCCAAGCACTGAAGTCCGCGTTCACTAGAGGTTCTGCAGTCAGGGTTATTATTCTTGGACCCTGAGGCCAGTGAGTAGAGCTGACTGCTCCACTCAAATGGACTGTCCATATTCATCACGTTCAGTGAAACCTTTTTTCTAATATAAAGTAGAGACCATCTTCTAAACAAGCTGGAAAACTTGGCAGACTGGAAAATAGGCTCTCTATGCCTTTTTCCCTTTTCTTGCTCAATAAAGCTAAGAAAGTCACTGTCCTGCTTTCAACAAAAATGCCAGTTTTGTTGATTAGCTTATTTGGGCAGTCCTTCAGGTTACCCCTAATTTTATAATTTCAAATGTTCTCTATGCTTTCTTTGAAAAAGGTATTGCTTGAGACTCATGAAATAATCATCTTGTGTTTAAAAGACCAGGGCCCCACTGCCCCAGCCGAGAGGTCACGGGTAGAGGCTGGGGTGGGACTGTCTCTGTGCAACCCTGTAATGCAGTTCACCTAGTTTGTATTCAAGTGTTCAGGCGGAGGCAGAACACCTGGCTCCAACATGTGGGGGCAGACGGTCTTCTATTTAGAGCTGTTAAAACAACGGAATCCTGAGCAGCCTCCAGCAATCCTGGTAGGTATCACGTAGAGGGGTCTGGCAGAGACAAACACTGTCTCATCCATGGTGTGTTGCTGTATAAAATACCTGAGGCCGAGCCCTTGCTACAGAAAAGAGAGGTTATTTAGCTCACAGCCCTGGAGGTTCAAGAGCATGGCACTCTCCTCTGTTTGGCTCTGGTGAGCCTTCTGGCTATGTCCAGCCTGGTGGAAGCACATGTGAGAGTAATCACAAGTTAGTTACTCTTTCCATAATCACTCCATATTGCAGAAACAACGGGGGGTCCTGTGAGAACCACATTAATCCCTGCCAGGGTCAGCATCCCCAGGGAGATCACCACCTTCCACGAGGCCTCTAATCTCTCAAAGATCCCAACACCTTAGCACTGCTACACTGGAACCAAGCTTCTAGCATAGCACATGAACCTCTGGGGGATATCCTCAAACCATATGCAAACTCTAGCAGGGAACCAGGTCGGTCCTCAAGGACAGATGGCACTCTGCAGTGAGTGTCTAGCAGCATGGAATGCCGTTGTGGTATTAGACGGATCTGTCACGAACAGATAAATGTTGGGTCCATTTCTAAGTGTGTCCATTCTTGACTTCCTTATTTATAAAACAGACAATAAAAGTGCCCAGAGGTCACTGGAACACCATAAGATAGGAAGAGCTCATTCCTGTAAAGTGATTTGGTCACTATTGCATTGGAGCAGCAATCATCCAATACACTTTGCTCTTTGCTGTGACTTCTCATAATAGTTGTGTCGTTACTGTTTCCATGAGTTCATCACCCAGCTATGTGTGGGGTTTCCTTACTTCTCAGCAAGGCAGGAAAGACACCCGCTGTGAAGTCTGGTGCTGGTTCCAAACCTCTCAGCAGGACAGAAACGCATTCTGGACCTTTGCATACCTTTGGACCTTTAAGGCTTGCCAGCCCTGATGTGACAAAGAATCACAATGCCCCGTGTGTTTGTCAAGTTTGGCACTGATACTTTGGGCACATGAACATCATACAATCTGTATTGAAATGCGGTGACTTCTGGGATGCAACACTGATGCTTCAGCCTATACACTGTTGGAGAATTTTTGACCCCGCCAGACCCTAAGAAGGTGTGTTAGGCTCCTGGGATGTGTGGAGCACAGGATTTGAGGACCCGGGAGAAGAAGGGACACAGGAAGTACTCTTAATTCTGTTCACTAATAGAATTAATGCTTCCAAGTACTACCCCTGTGAGTGTGAAAAATGAAGGCAAAGCAAGAAAACACTGCAAGTGGCACTTAGAACAGAGTACAGAAAGTGCTAGCAGTAATTATTATTCAACTCCAACTGTAATTTCTCATAGCCAGGAGTGGAAAGAAATTATTGAAACCTAGAAATCGCTGTTCACATCTCAAGTTTTTCCTTGTCCATGAAAATCTGACCCCAAACCAAGTTCTGGGTGAGGAATCCCAAGTTCAAGTGCAGGTGCTGGGTCTGTCGCACCCCCAGCTAATGCCCTCCATGGTCACAGCTTGTCCTGGTCTGGGCTTTCCCGAAGGGAGGCACTTGCAAAGCCCTGTCCAACAGGAGAGAGTAGACTCTACGCTCACCAGGTCATCCAGCCAATCCATCAAAACGAAAAGCTCTATGCCATGTTTGCTGTTGGAAAAGTCTGCGTAGAACAAGTGGATTTTTTTTAAGTAAAAATTTTCTTATTCATGCAAATCCTTGTTGATACAAATGCAAACTTTTGGTCACTAAGCTCTTATTCTGAATATATACTTGGGCTGATTTCCATAGAGAGGAATACATTTTTTAAAATTGCACATTATTAAAGTTCACAAAATGCCGAAATGTGGGTTTTTAGTGATTATAGTGAAATGCATTAAAATGAGGTATTCAGAATTATTTTTGAGAGTTCTTCCAAGTTAAATGTCATTAAATTTTTTTTCCATGTGTAGCCAGCCTTCTTTTGAATAATCCCCTTCACACCTGTGTATCCTGGGAAAATGCACTGGCCTTCTTTATATGTATCTAGGGCCAGTCTCACCTTTCAGATCCCAAAGCGTCTCACCGTCACCATGGTGCCCACCTGTCCTGCCTGCAGTGCCCCCTATTCCTGAGCCTGGGCTGTCATGGGAAAGTCTCATCTTCTCACACACAGGCCATGTCTGGCTGATCTGACGGGACAATTCTTAAGCAGGCACTGCTTGTTTCTAAGTGTTCACAGTGACCACATAGCAAAGACTGTGATTTTAGATAAGTCACTTAACCTTTCTGTACATCAGTTTCTTTATTTCTGTTGGCAAATTCAATGCACATGTCATAGTGTTGGTGTAAAGGTTGCATGAGATAAAGAACACAAAGTGTTTCATGTAGGTCCCTAGTTCACCTTTGAGTGGCCTCCACACTCACAATTGACAGCTTTGGGAAAAGCAGTAATAACAATCACACTGGTGTAGCATCTGTGGCAACAATACTGCTGAAGGGAAGTAGTGTCCACGTGGATGTGCGCCCTGTACAGATGCTCCTCAACTTGACAATGGGGTTACGTTGGGATAAACCCATTGTAAGTGGAAAATGTATGGAACCCACCTGACCTACCGCACATCGCAGCTCAGCCACACAGCACACTGTAGAGGATGAGTTGTGTGCCTGCCTGAGGGGCTGACTGGATGCTGTGGCTGCTGCCACTGCCCTGCATGGAGAGAGGACTGGACCACACACACACACACACACACGCACTAGCTAGGAAAGATAGGAATTGAGCATTCCAAGTGGGGTTTCTACTGAGTGGTATTGCTATCATGCATGGTGAAGTCCAGTATGGTAAGTTGAGATTGTCTGGTCTACCCATAAGAAGCCATTCATAGATCCTAGGTCACCCAGCACTGGATGCAGGTGCTTGTAGCATGATCATTGTAGCAAACCAGGACTCGGAGGCTCAGACAGGTTAGGTAACTTGTCCCAGTCCTGTAAAGCAGGAAGTGACATCAATGGGACATGAACGCCAGGAGTCTGAGTCTAGATCCCACACTCTTACATTACTGAGGATGACTGTGTAACTGTCGGCTTTTCCCTCTACAGCTGCAAGCATCTACTTTTACTCCAAAAGAGATGGCAAGTATCATTGAGGGTGCTTACTCCAGCAAGGTTGCAGCTAGAGGTGGGAGACCTGAAGCCATTTGGGTTTCTTTTACAAACCTGTTCAAGCCAGTGGCACATCCGGGAACCAGTAGGAGCCAGCTGGTCACTTGGGGGAACAGTCTGAGCAGTGGAAGAAATGACTTGCACCTGCACGGGAACGCTGGGGAGAGTGAGTGCACCTCCAAATGCACGCTCTAGAGAGCACATTCAGGATTTGCCATGTGTTCCTGGACTAAAACTATTCATTACCTTGTTCAGAACGATTTTTAAATGAGAACAGCTTGCAATAGCCTGTCCCCAATCCCTGGGCCTCCTCTGCTTTTTGCACTCCCTGAACTTGGCTTGTTGCCTTGTACTCCTAAGAGGTGGGAAGACGGAGCGGGAGAAGGAAGCCTCGAGCCCAGGGCAAATTTTGCATAAGATATAAACACTTGTTGGGGAGCTGGGACCAGTGGGCCTGTCTCAGCGCTCTCAGCCAGGCTCCTGGTTAGGGCTGTGGACAGCACAATCCAGTCTTTCAGGTACCTTAGTCATCACCACAGGACTCAGATGTTTCTGAAAGAGCTAGATTCTCACTTGGAGACATCCAAAGTCTCAAGTGCAAATGCAGCTGCATCTGAGAAATGGCAGATCACTGGTGGGGGAGAGAAGCCATCTCCATCTCCAAACCTGTTCAAATGCTGCATTGCTGGGTTTACTGCTGCTTCCTCCCACCACCACCACCAAGATTTACTTATTTATTATTATTTCCCCAAGAGAAAGGGGGAGAGACACACAGAGAGATCTTCCGTTCACTGGTTCACTTTCCAAATGGCTGCAAAAGCCAGGGCTGGGCCAATCCAAAAGCAGGGGCCAGGTTTCCCATGTGGGTGGCAGGGATCCAAGCACTGAGGCTATCATTTGCTGCCTTCCCAGAGCATTCACAGGCAGCTGGATTGGAAATGGAGCAGCCAGGACTCAAATCTGCACTCTGATATGCGATGCCAGTATTGCAGGATTGCAGGCAGCAGCTTAACCCGCTGCTCCAAAAGCTGGCCCTGGCTTCCTGCTTCTTAAACTGGGTCAGGAATTTACAAAAAGACAACGCCTTTAAAAAAAAAAAGATTTTTTGAGCACTTTAAATATGTTCTCAGAATCTCAAACCATTCTAGCCTGACAGAATCAATTTAGTGACTTGAAAGGATAAAGAGCTCGTGAAAATGACATGAACTCAGCCTATCTTGGAATTAAGGAAAGCCCTGCCTAGAATCTGTTTAGTGCTCTTATTTCTGGTCTTTCAGAACTGTAAACCACGGGATCAGGAGATGAGTGGAAGGGTGGGAGGCGGATGTCCATCAGCGTGCATCCTAGGAGCTGAACTCAGTACGGAATCGTGGAAGTGTCTCCGTCCTGACATGGGTTTGCCAAGGCTGTGCCTACGGAGCACCACAGAAAGAGTCTAAAGATTGCACTTTCAATCAGCTGCTCTGGCTCTCTGGGCATCCTCATGAAGATTTCTGGTCTGGGTGTTGAGAAAGTAGTTTGCAAGTATGGACTGTGAGAGAGGAGGGAAGAGTGTGTGACCGTACTACACACTCGGGTGTGTGTGCACAACCATATGGCCAGAGGAGGCAGATGTGGAGGCACAAAGAGATGTTGCTTGGTTGGATGGCTGAGACCCTGACGTGGAATATTCTGGTAAATTCATACAGGTCATGAAAAGGAAAAGAACACTGTCTTCCATGATGCCAAGAATGAGTCTGATTGGATTCTTTTCCTCTCACTGACTTGTCTTCCATCTGAGGTAGGTGACAGATGGTGGATGACAGTGCTGTGAACCTAATGGAAGAGGCAGATGTTCAACCAAGCCTGACAAATTAGGAAATAACCTTGAACATATAAGTTCCACAGAAATCAGTGCAAGGCAGGACACCTAGTAGCCACGGGGGTATGAGCCGAGGCATAGATGTGGCAGAAAAGCCAGGAGGTCCCCGTTATGCTGAGACACGAAGGTCCTTAGCCAAGTCGGTCTGATGCTAGGATGCGGTCCAGGCTTCCTGGCACAGCCCTTAAACTCTAGGGTGACTGAGAATCCCCTGGAGGGCTTCTTCACATTCAGATTGCTGAGACCCCACAGTTGTCTGGGTGGAGGCCTGACATACTGCATTTTAAACACATTCTTGGGAGAGGCTGATGCTGCTGGCAGGGCCCATACTCAAGGAATCACTGTTCTACGGTGAGCAGCACAGAGGCACCCACCAGCCTGCCCCACGTAGCACTCCCTGCAGTGGGCTACTGCACCCCCATTCTGATCACTAGACCCAAAGACACATGCAGAGAAATGGTGGGTGAGATGGAAAAAAAATTAGAAAAATGATCAAGGGAATATAAAATAAAATCAGAAATAAATGATTTGCATAGTTGGGATCATTTGATTTGAAGAAGAGAGCAGTATTGCTTAATGAATATCTCCACTATAAAGGTGTAAGGGCCAACTAGGGGTTAGAGGGTTCTGTGTGTCTCCAGGTGCTGGGCCAGGGCAAAGCAGAATTGGAGGCGTCACAGCAAAGGTCAAAAGTAGAAAACGTAAGCCCCGGCAGGCACAATGTCCATTTCCAATATCTTGACTTAGATGATTTAGATTTGATAGACAATAAAGTATAAGTTTTCTTCCAGTTATTAGGTGCTATGGAATCCAAGAACAAATTTGCTTATGGCTCAGGAGGATCCTGGAAGGATCAGAGCCAATTTTCCCTTAGGTTTTATTCCACTAACTGAGGATGGCTGTAAAAGCGAGGCCATGGTTTCTCCTTAGGCGAAAGGCTGATATTTTCACCAGCTCAAAGGAGAGCCCTACAGATTCAAAGTATGCTATTTGGTGGCAGATGCAAATCCAGGCTTCACAAAGAATTCTATCAGAGGTCCTATATTGCCTTTCAAAATATTCTGTCTTTAACTGTGCATTCAATCAACTTCCAAGAGGATCTGTGCTCCAAATTTATTTTCAGTGGAATGTTTTTCACTGATGCTTGAATTTTTACAGTGAAAAAAAGTCCTAAATCTGTTTTGTCAGTAAAACAGGGGACACATTGAAGTTGTAAGTTAAAATCCACCTTGACCATGTACTTTAACATACTTCTACTGGATTTAAAAAAAAATCTTCTCACCTCCCAGGGCAGAAGGGGAGCATAGGAGGAGCAATGGCTGCTGTATCTCTTAATAGGAATAGAATTTTTGATGCTGAAAAAGGAAAAGGTTACAGAGAAATGTCAAGCAAAGAGGAGATATTCTAAAACTCTGATGCACCTTGCTAGAAAAGGTTGCTTTGGGATGAATTCAGTTGAATTTCAGAACCCAGAGAACAAAGATATAAAGATTCTCATTTCAATTATCTCACGATGATCTCATGCAGGCAAGGGCATGTCATCAAGCAAACTGTCTCTCTTGAAAAAATGGAGGCACAAACCTTGTTTGCAACACATGTTCACTCACACCTACAGAAACACGTTACATACATACAAAGTTTTTGAAAGAGCTATTGTAATGATAATTACAATTTTATAAAGTAAAAACTTGAAAAATGTATTTGTAGGTTTCTGCTACTTAAAAGTTCTAGAAGAATCCACAGCTCATATCCACTTCACATAGATGAATTATTTGCCTCTGAGAAGGATAAACACTTGATTTGTGAGTCAAGAATGCTGAAAGGGTGACACCTATCCTTGCGACTCAAAGTGGCATCAATGGGCTATCTGTACCCGAGGCATAGGAGAGACTCAGCCCTGCCCCTGCTCTGCCCCTGCCCCTAGCCCCAGCCCCACTGAGGTCCCTAAGCCATCTAGAACTCCTTTCCATATATAACATTCCGGAAGCACTAGTCAAAGTGAACAATATTTCCTCTGCGTCGTTTGCTAGAAGACAGATCTGTCTGCTAATTCTAATGACAACCTGCAAAACCATTAGTTTGCTGATTCTGAGAGTCTGAACCAGATTTAAAGTTATAACCAGGTATGAAAACCATCTAAAATCATTAAAATTTGTAAAAGGAACAAGAATGCCTTTATTACATCACCAATGAAGGTGGAAAAGTCAGCGCTGCTGTCAACAGCACTATAGTAGCCACTCATTTAGTATGGGTTGTATTTTATTATTTTTAAATATGTATTTAACTTGAAAGGCAAAGAGAAGGAGAGAGGGAGGGAGAGAGCGAGAGTTATCCCATCTGCTGGTTCATTCCATGAATCCTTGGAGCCAAGGATCCAACTACTTGAGCCATCACCTGCTGCCTCCCAGGTGTGTATTAGTTGAAAGCTGGAATTCAGAGCAGAGCTGGAACTCAAACCTAAGCACCCAGATATGGGATGTGGGTGATCCAAGTGATATCTTAACCTCTACACCAAATGTCTGCTTCTAATACATGTTTTAAATCAGAAATGGCATGTAATCCTGACTCCATATATCATAAAATAAAAATCATTATTTAAAAAAATGGATTTCACACTTAAAGTCTCAGAAGTCTCTAAGACATTTTTATTGGGATTAATATCTGTATTCCTCATCTGCCCTTTTAAACTCCCTGTTTCCATCCTGCGTTAAATCCTGGGGGAATCTAAGACTATTATTGCATGACAAGTCAGCCGAGGAATCCTGCCTTCCAGAACCTAATTCAGGCCTCCGGGGAGGGAGGGGCTCTGCCTCCTCCCTCTCCAGGTGCCAGGACTGAACGCAGTGCCCTTTACAATCGTGACACAAACTCGACCGATTCAGAGAAGCACTGAGTTAAAGGATGAGAGACACAAGTCCCTGGACAGCTACAACTGTGCGGCACCTGAATTGCCCTAGTTTCTAGGATAGCTGTTTCTACTGGAAATAATGCGCATTCCTTGGTTGTCAGAAATCTTATGTACTGGGAGTAAGAGAGAACGTGCTACCTCAGGTAGCATGCTACATTTGTCCATTGGCAGGTTAACATTATTGAACATAGGTATTCATATGCACACACACACACACACACACACGTGTATAGATTTGCTCCACGGAAACAAGGAAATCTTGCAGAACACTACTTAAACATCCGAATATCTTCACAACTTAGTAAGGACTTATTCTGGTAAAGACAGATTATAGTTGAATTAAAAAACTCTCTTGGTTAAAATTAAGGCTTTTAAAAACATTGATTAAAAGCAGCCACTTCAAACTGTTGAAATCTTTACTTAGTATAGAGTTGATCTTCTGTATATAAAGATAATTAAAAATGAATCTAAATGAAGATTGGGATGGGAGAAGGAGTAGAAGGTGGGATGGTTTGGGGGTGGGAAGGCGTGTATGGGGAGGAAGAACTGCTATAATCCAGAAGTTGTACTTATGAAATTTATTTTTATTAAATAAAAGCTTTCTATTAAAAAAGAAAAAAGGGCTGGCACCACGGCTCACTAGGCTAATCCTCCGCCTTGCGGCCTGGCACACCGGGTTCTAGTCCTGGTCAGGGCGCCGGATTCTTTCCCGGTTGCCCCTCTTCCAGGCCAGCTCTCTGCTGTGGCCAGGGAGTGCAGTGGAGGATGGCCCAAGTCCTTGGGCCCTGCACCCCATGGGAGACCAGGAGAAGCACCTGGCTCCTGCCTTCGGATCAGCGCAGTGCGCCGGCCACAGCGCGCCAGCCGTGGCAGCCATTGGAGGGTGAACCAACGGCAAAGGAAGACCTTTCTCTCTCTCTCTCTCACTGTCCACTCTGCCTGTCAGAAAAAAAAAAAAAAAGATAAAGCTCTTTTCCTAAATAAATAAATAAATAGATTAATTAATTTAAAAAGCAGCCACTTCATTAGTACCTACAAGACCAGGACCTGCTGCCTTAAGGGCACCAAACTAAGCCAAACCAGACCAGACCAGACCAGACCAGACCAGACTTCCTTCAAGCAGGGGCACACTGAGGTCCCACCACATGCAAGTGGTGTCCTCAGCCCTCATATTCAGTGAGGGATGCAGACAGCACAGGCTGGGCAGGCGCAAGACTCAGACTTTTTGAAAACCTGGCTTCAAATCTCCGTGCTGCCTTTGCGGCTCTGTGGCCTTGGACAAATCTCTTGGCCTCTCCTCTTTTAGTTTCCTTACCTGTAAAAATGTGTTTCTCTGACTACAGCAAAACAAAACCAATTAAAAGAAAAAAAAAAAAAAAACAGGAGAAGTCTCTAGCAGGGGCCTAGCACACGATACGTAACAGCTGAAGTAGTGTCATTGTGACTGTCCCTGTTAGAGACAGGCAAGTGGGTGCCACCATGTCGGCAAAAGCATCATTTTTATTGCTTTAAAACCTCACAGGGATGTATACCAGCCAGCATCAAAACCGACCTACCCTAGTCAAGTCTCCCATGGAGGTGCCATTAGATTTCAAATGATTAAAAGCAAACACACATCCTATCCAATCTACCAAGCCCACCAAGTGTTCCACATACATGCTTTAAAGGCATCAACTTGTTTAGATTGATCATACAGTGCTGTGTATGGAAGGTCCTTTCCTACTTAAGTATTTCAGTCCCTCTCCTGCTGCGTAAGGAACCTCAGGGAGGGGATACCCGTGCTCCATCAGAAAAGGCTTTGGATGGATGCGTCATGACACAGGCTACCAGAATGCTCCTGTGATATTATGGGCATAATGTCTGGGACAAACCAATGAGGTTAATCTCTTACAAGCTATCTCCCCTGCCCCCACCTAAGGACCCAGAAATACTGGTTGTGCAGCCATCCAAATGGGCTAAGTTGACATGCTGTCCAGAAATCCTTTCACTGGTTGTTCAGACGCAGCTATAAACCCACTGCACACAGAGGGAAGGTGCCTCTGTGTACATCTGTCTGCACTCACAGAAAGCACGCTCAGACACAGGGAGCCTTACAATATGATTAAAATTAGTTCCTGTGCATACTTTCCTGGCTACATCCTAGTTCTTGGAAAACCAGCAGTACAGTCCTCGCTGCATGGAAGTTGCTTTTTGGAAGAAAGAAGGAAAAGGAATGTGAAGGTAACTTTTCCTAAGCAACGACACGGTCATTCAGCTTGTGAACATACAGGATGTATGTCACAATCACACTCACAAGCCTGCTTGTGAAGCTAGGACACTGCCTGCTTCAAATGCATTTTGCAGCATAACGTGAACCGGGAAAACCTGGTCTATGATATTTAATTCTATTAGTCTCAGTCGAGACCAACTATAATATATTCCTAGACACAGGGAGATAAGAAACGTGATGTTTTCATATTTCATGATATTGTCACACTAGCTTATTTTTTCAGAATATCCTGAAATACACGGAATCAACTTTTAAGGGATTGTATTGATTTTTTTTTCCTGAAAAGAATCAGACTGCAGCTTAAGAAACCAAATGGTTGGATCTTAGCTCACAGGAAAAGTCAAAACGTATTTCGTGAGTTATTTTAGGAAGCACTTCTTGAAAAACGACTCCTTTGATTCTGGATTTGCACAGCAACATTTGAAACCAGAGGTCTCACGAACACAGGCAAACACGCAGAAGGAGCTGCAGCATTGACAGAAATACTAAAATCATCCTTATGCATGGGAATTGCTGAAAAGAAAGAGTGAGTAAGAATGGGCTCACGCCTCCAGTGCTGGCAACCTAGGACTGAGTTCATGTCAACAAAAGCAGGCTGCTTCCAAGCATAATTATGTCAACTACTTTTGTTGTTTTGAAAGATACAACATGCAGCACTGAAAATCTACCTTGGTTTTTGTTTTCAAGAGGCTGGGAAAAGTAATTCCTTCTCCATTTTCCTTAATAACTCACGTTTATTTTAAAGTCCAGGTTAAAAAAAAAAACCCAAGAACTCATTTACATTTTTAACATCATGGCCATGTCGTATCAGCTCCTTTCCCACCCCTCCAAACAAAATATAAAACAAAACCTCTGTCGTCCAACAACAAAATCATATTGAGCAAAGAACTTGACAATTTTTTTTTTTCAAAAAAAGGTGAAAACACTGGTCACATTTTTTTTTTTTTTTCACTTAACTCATCTGAACGATGTCATTGCTTCACAAATGCCATGTGCTCCTGTGGCTGGAGAAAGACCCAGCGCTGAGAACGCAACGGGGCAACTCACCCCCGGGTGGGGCAGCAGAAGGCTCGGTCGGTCCAGCGTCCTCCCGCGGGGGACCGGTGCCTGCCTACACGTCGCTGGGCGACCGTGCTCTCTGGGACAGGGCGGATGGGATGCAGCCGCAGCACACAAGGCAGAGGGCTTTCTGGATCTCTTGGTTTCTGAAAGCGTAGATGACGGGGTTGATGATGGAATTGTAGGTGGCTGGGAGGAGGGTGGCGTAGGTGTAGATGGAGGGGTAGGTATAATCTGCTATCAGGGAGTAGAGGGTGAAAGGCATCCAGCAGGCAGCAAAGGTCCCCAGGATGATGGCCAGCGTAGAGACACCTTTGCGGGTGGTCACGTAGTGCGACGTGGCCAGGAAGTGGTGCTGCAGGGCTATCTGGTGGGCGTGCCTCATCACAATCTTACAGATCTGTACGTAGAGCTGCAGCATGAGCGCGAACATGAAGAGGAAGGAGACGGAGAGGATAGCCGCGTTGTTCTTGGTGAGCGGCCTGACCACGCTGCAGGTGGATTCGTCTCGCAGGCAGTTCCAGCCCAGGACGGGCAGCAGCCCCAGGCAGATGGAGGTCCCCCAGAGCACGACGAGCATGGCGTAGGTGAACGTGACCGTCCTCTCCGAGTGGTAGGTCAGGGCGTAATACAGGGAGAGGTAGCGGTCCACGGTGATGGCCAGCAAGCTGCAGACAGAGGCAGAGAAAGAGGCGACAATGAGGCCGATGGTGACCAGCTTGGTGGCGTCGGACTGCAGCAGGTAGGCAAACACAAAGTTGATGATGAGGCCGAGGCCGGCCAGCAGGTCCGCCAGGGCCAGGCTGCCTATAAGCAGGAACATGGGTGCTCGCAGGCTGGGATTGTGGAAGATGACGAGGACCACAATGGCATTTTCACAGGAGATGAGGGTTCCTGAGCTGCACAGGACAATGTCCCAGGGGTTCACTGCCAGCTCGGGCTCTGGCTGTACGGCGGGCACCTGTGAAGAGGCAGCGGCCGAGACGTTCTCCGAGGCAGCGGCATCTACAGAATCCCGAGGCAGCCCGCTTACATTGACCTTCAGGTCTTCATTCATTTTAACCCCTGTCCTCTTCAACGAAAAGACAGGCCTTTTAATGTTTAGGTAGGGCAGGGTGAGACGCCCAGATCATGCAACACACACACACGCACGCACGCACACGCACACACACACACACACGGAAAGCCAGCCCCTGCTCAGACACACAAGCTGTTGGGAATGCACATGGTCGCGAAATAAAACAAAAGCCGGAGTCTCCGCGGTGGGCACCCTTTAGCTGCAATGCCGTTTGGCACCGGGGAACGCACAGGGCAGGACTCCCTGCCGGGAGCGCGAGCCAGGCAGGCGCCGACCCGACCTCCCGGACACACCGCGGTCCCTCCGTGAAGCGCCAGGGCTGCGCGCTCGGACATCACCTCCTGCGTGCCCAGCACCGACTGTCTGACATCTGGGCTTCTGCCCACCGTACCGCGCAGCGGCCGCCATCCTCGACGGAAGATTTAAGCCGCCGGTTCCCACCACGCGCCCACCCTCCAAAGGCGACCCCGGAGCGCGTGCACACCCTCACACACACCCCCCGACAGAACAAAGAGGGGGGCTCCAGACGCCCCCCAGGAGCACGGGCAGTCTGGGCGAGCCACAAAAGGCGCATGTGTGCCCTGGAGGTGCGGAGACAGACAGACAGACAGATGGACGCCCATGCACTGCCGCCGCGCCCCTCGCGGCGGGGGGAGGGCGCCGGACACGAAGGACAGACAGGGCGCGGGGTACAGGCGGTCCGCGGGGCCGGGGAGGGGGTGGCATCGAGGGGGTCACCTTGGCGCGCCCAGGCCGGGGAGGGGGGCGCTCCTCTGGTGCTTCCGAGGCGCCCGGGCTACTCGCATCACATGTCGGCGCCGGTGCCCGCGGCGGCGAGAGGCGGCGGCCCCGCTCGGGAGGGGCCCGGAGGGCGCGGGGCGCGCGCGCTCCCCGGCAGGTGAGCGGCGCGGCGGCAGGTGAGCAGCGGGCTCGGCTGGCGCGCCCCGCTCTCCCCGCCCGCTCTGCTCGCCGGTCCAGCCCGCACGCTCCCCGCGCGTGCGCGCGCGCGCGCCCCCGCCCTCGCTCGGAGCGCGCCCGCCCGCGGGAGCCCCGGGAGACCGCGCTCGCCCCCACAGGTCGGGGCTGCGCGGGGTGCGGTGCGGGCGGGCGAGGACGGCCGAGGAGCGAAGGACTAGGGGGCCTGGAGACGCGGAACCGCGCGGTCTCCCGGCCCTGCCAGCTGCTCCCTGTTCCCTGCTCCCCACCCCAGCGGGCGGCCCGGGGCTCGTACCTGGGCGGGGCAGAGGAACGCACCCTGGGAGCGTGCGACCTAGTTCGTTCCTGAGTTTCCCTGGGGAGCCCCGTCTCTTGGGGCCGGCTTCTCCCCACCCACTGCATTCGGGGCTGGGAGAATTGTTCCGTGTGATCCTGGACCCAGGATTGGCAGCAGGGAGTGGCGTGGCCAGGTGAGGGAATCGGATCTTTAAAACGGGAAAACGTGCAGCCAACTCTTGCAGATTTCGCCTTGGGCCCATCGCGAAGGGGCCCCTTCCTCGCGTGTATCCTGGGGCTGGGCCCAGGAGCGCTTGCTGGCCTGGGTGGGTGGCCGCTGCCTTGGGGATGACCAAGCTCTTTGCCAAACTGCACTTACTAAACGCGCTGTGAGCTATGTTTTAGAATGGAAATCTTAACGAGATTCCTGCAGCAGCTTCCTGCAGACACTGGCCAAATCCCAGTTCATTTAGGTGCTGAAGTGGCACTGTTAATTAATTAATTAATTTTTTTACTGCATCGGTGGATTCAAAGATTAAGAACCTGCCAGCTGTCTGCATTTACAGACCCATGTCTCCCCTGAATAAAAATACCAAGGTGCCTAGCTGGATCTTAAGCTTAAAGATCATCTCCCAGTTTAAGAAATGGGAGCAAGGGGCCGGTGTTGTGGCATAGCCGCTGGCATCCCACATGGCTGCCGGCTCATGCTGCCGCTGCTCCACTTCTGATCCCATGGTGCTAATGGCCTGGGAGAAGCAGCAGAAGATGGCCAAAGTGCTTGGGCCCCTGCACCCACGTGGGGACCCGGCCTGGCCCAGCCCCAGCCATTGGGGCATCTGAGGAGTGAATCAGCAGATAAAAGTCTCGCTCTCTCTCCCTCTGTCTTCTCCTCCCACCCCCCATAGCTCCGACAAATAAATAAATAAATAAATAAATAAATAAATAAATAAATCTGTTTTAAAATGGGATGGAGGTCCTGGTTTTGTGTTTGCAACACTTTTTTCCCCACAGCTGCTGCTGCTGGCAGTGGTGGCGGTGGGCAGATCACATCCTGAGAAGAAGCAAGGAGCTATGGTGTTTAGGAGCCACTTAGATATGGTGGGGAGACACAGACATCTGAACGTCCCTGCGAATTGTGCCAAGGACTGGGCAAGTTCCGGTAAGATGTGGTCTCTTCACTCACAAATGTGTGAAGTCTGGTGTGATGGGCACGTAAAAATGAACCAATGAACTGTATTATCAGGCAGTGGGTAGCCTCCACAGCTTGCAATCCAATGGGCCCAGCGGGAAGTTTTGCTCAGGTTTCATTGAGGAGCCTGCAAGCTGGCTGCAAGATGGTCCCCTCAATTTACTTGGGAGCCACTAGAGGGCCCTGTAGCAGGTCCCCGTGCCCCTGCTCCCCCCACCATGGGACGTTTGTTGCCTTTGCATCGCATGCTTTTGCTATCACCTTTTTAAAGTAACTTCAGCAAGAAGTAGGAAACCTTCCTGGCATTTTCCCCAACCTATACTGACAATCGCTGTTCAGTGTGAGAAAGGCTTGGTCTCTGCCTTAATTACCCACCTGTCCACCAGCTCAAAGCCGCAGGCACACATATTGGCCCCTCTGGGCCTGCCCATCGGCTGGGAGGCTGTGTGAGACCTTGGGTTGGAGCCAATGCTTTCGTGTAGTCTGTGAGATCCAGGAGGACACTTTACTCAGCAGTTAATAACCTCTAGTTAACTTCCAAAGAGTTGGTTAATTGGTGCACTATACTGAACAGGGTGGACTATGCTCTCCTCTGTCTACCATGGGTGTATATCACACCCGAGAACAGAACATAACCCCTAATTAAAGGCCAATGCATTTATTTATCATATGGTAAATGTTGTTGCGTCGTTGTTGCATACAGACAAGTGCACATTTCACAAGTGTGTGGTGTGGTGGAGACAATTAAATGAATACACCCAGGCAGCCAGCAGAGGAAACAGGACACCACCGGCACCCCAATGCCATCCTCACGCCCCTCCCAGCTGCTAAGTCCTGAAAGGAAATCCGATTTCTGAATTCTGACAGCACTGTTTAGACTTGTCCACTTCCAAGCTTTAGATAAATGGAACCGTACAGGATGCCTACACTGGAGTGTGGCCTCTTTTGCTCAACCCTGTGCCTGTGAGATGTCTGCATTTGTTGTATGGAGCAGATGGTTCTTTCTCCTTGGTGCACAGCCTTCTGTTGTATGAGCATCGTTGTCCACCCAGGCTGCTGTAACAAAATACCTTAGGCTGGGTAATTTATAGAGAACAGGAATTTACCACTCATAGCTCTGCAGGCTGAGAAGTCCAAGACCAAGGCACCTGCAGACTTGTGTCTCATGAGGGCCCCTTCCTAACAGCTGGTCCCTTCTGGCTGTGTCTTCCTGGTGGAGGGAGTGAACACATGCCTTAGGCCCCCTATGGAAGGGAACCGGTGACCTCCCAAAGGGCCCACGTTGTACTCTTATCACTTTGGGGATTAAATTGAAATCCTTACTTAATGTATACTAAGCTGATCTTCTGTATATTAAGATAATTGAAAACGAATCGATGTGAATGGAAGGGGAGAGGGAGTGGGAAAGGGGAGGGTTGTGGGTGGGAGGGACGGTATGGGGGGGAAGCCATTGTAATCCATAAGCTGTACTTTGGAAATTCATATTCATTAAATAAAAGTTAAAAAAAAGGGAGGAGTTGAAAAAAATTTCAACTTATACATTTGGGGGACACAAGCATTCAGACCACGACAAATGCACTACAATTGGCCATCCGCCTCTTGTTTGTCAACACTGGGTGCTTTCTGGTTTGTCTGTAATGAGAAAAAATCATGATGAGTTTTCTTGTACTTGTTATGTGATAACACGTATGGGTGTATTTGCTGGGTCAAAAGCATACTTTCGGGGCTGGCGTTGTGGTACAGTGGGTTAAGTTACTGCCTGCGATTCCCACATTCCATATGGATGCAGGTTGGAGTCCCAGCTGTTCCGCTTCCCATCCAGCTCCCTGCTGATGCACCTGGGAAAGCAGCGGAGGATGGCCCGAGTGTTAGACCCCTGCTACTCATGTGGGAGACTCAGGCAAAGCTCCTGGCTCCTGGCTGCAGCCTGCTGGCCTGGCTTCAGCCGTTGTAGCCATTTGGGGAGAAAATCAGCAGACAGAAGATCTCTTTGTGTGTCTCCCCTTCTTTCTCTGGAATTCTGCCTTTCAAATAAAACAAGTACATTTTTTTTAAAGCACACTTTTTAGTTAATCCTCTATTTAAACAAATCTGATTGCTATTTAAGAAAAGTGAGCTGCATAAGAAAAAAATCACAACAAACATCTTTTTCCCTTGTAAAATTCTCTCTAGGCTTCCCATTGGACAGAGATGGATATATTTCATGGGACTGTCAGAGAGAGAGAAGGAAGGGAAGGGACTGTCCCATGAAGACTATTCTGTCGGAGACTCTGTGTGGAAAGGGAGAACTCTGTTGTCAGTGCTCACATCACTCACTTCTGTCACTGGTGGCATGGGACAACAGTTTTTCTCTTCTTATGGATTTTGAGTTGCTGAGTGGCCTCCAGTCTCAGTGGCTTATGATATGGACAGGACAGGGACCACTGAATAAAGGTCCCCATGTAACTATCTCACAAAGGTCCCTAGAAGAGGGAGACAGGAGAGTAGAGATCAGTAGCTGGAGATGTGCAGGCAAAGCAGAGGGAGAAAACAAAGGTTTGAAGATGCGACCTTGCTGCCTTTAAAGGCAGGGGAAGGAAGGGCCGGTGCTGTGGTGCAGTGGGTTAATGCCCTGGCCTGAAGCGCTGGCATTCCATATGGGTGCTGGTTCGAGACCCGGCTGCTCCACTTCCAATCCAGCTCTCTGCTATGGCCTGGGAAAGCAGTGGAAGATGACCCTGCACTCACATGGGAGACCCAGAAGAAGATCCTGGCTCCTGGCTTCAGATTGGCGCAGCTCCGGCTGTTGTGGCCAATTGAGGAGTGAACGAACCAGCGGATAGAAGACCTCTCTCTCTCTCTCTCTCTCTCTCTCTCTCTGCCTCTCCTCTCTCTTTCAAATAAATAAATAAATCTTTAAAAAAGAAAAAGCGGAAGGGGGCAGGAGCAGCCTCTGGGAGCTGAGAAGAGCCAGGAGGGCCCTTCTTCCCTGGGGGCTTCTAGAAGGAGTGCAGGTCTGTGGGCCTACTTCAATCTGTGCACTTCTGAAACAGGAGGCATTTTTTTTCACTAAACCCCGGCTTTCACAAGGTTCACTCTCCATGATGTCCATGCTGTGGGTTCACACTGATGTGTACTGACACGCACTCACCTCACAGTGTCATACAGAGCACTTTCCCTGCCCTAAGCGTCCTGTGTTTTCTACTTGTCATTCTTCCCCTGACCCCTGACCCCAGCCCCCAGCCCCTGGCAACACTGATCTTACGCTGCCTCCATAGTCCTGCCTTTTCCAGAACCTCACAGCATGTAACCTGGGCACACTGGCTTCTTTCACTTAGTAGCGTGCACTTACACTCCTTCCATGCGTTTTTCATGGCTTGAGAGTGCATTTCCTTTTTTTGTGTGTTGTATAACATTGTGTTGTTTAGGGGTACCACTGTATTCACTCAGCGAATGAAGGACATCCTGGTTGTTATCAGAAAAGCTGCCACAGACATCCACATGCATCTTTTTGTGTGGACATGAGTGTTCATCTCATTTGCATAAATACCAAAGAACAAAGAACACGACTGCT